TCTCTGATGCATAGCAAATAATTGTGAAAATCATGGCCTGGATCAGGCACACCTTAGTCTCTAGACTGACATCATTGCTTCTCGGTACTCTGGAAAGGTCCTTGACAGCAAATTCACTTAAGGCAATTAGTCCTTTGACTTCCTGATAATGGTGTCAAGAGTATTGATTGTGGAGCTGAGCAAGCTGAAAATTGTTAACAGATTCAGTCTCTTCTCCACCTATTAGATGCTGCCAACTGGCCAAGTGGTGAGAATCTTTGTCCTCCTGATGTTGAGCTTCAATCCATACTGAAGATTAACAGTCCTTGTTGGCTTTCTGCAGTCAATGCTTCAGGTCCTACTCAGTGTCCGCAAACAAGGTTGTGTCATCTGTATAACAAAGATTGTTGATGAGTCTTCCTACAAATCTGATGCCACATTCCTCCTCATATAGTCCAGCTTCCTGAATGATTTGTTCCACATACAGAACATACAGACTGAAAAGGTATGAAGACAGAATGAATCTCTTACACACTACTTTTCTGATTTTAAATCATGCAGTATTTCCTTGCTCTGTTCTGAGGACTGATTGATGGTACAAGTATAGTTTTTGCATGAACACAGTCAGGTGTTTTGGGATTCCTGTTCTCAATGTTAGCCACAATGTTTTGCGATACACACAGTCAAATGTCTGTGCATAGTCAATGTAACACATATAGACATTCTTCTGGTCCTTTTGCTTTCTGCCAACATCCATCTGACGTTGTTGATAATATCACTAGTGCCACGGCATCTCCTAACCCAGCTTGTATTTCTGATAGTTCTCTGTCAATATACTGTTCCAACAGTTTTTGAATAATCTTCAGCAGGATCTTGCTTATGTATGATATTAGAGATATATTTTTTTATAATTTTCACTCTGTCAGGTCACTTTTTTGAAAATGGGAGTAGTTTGTCAGGTCACCATTTTTAAGAATGGGAATAAATATGGATCTCTTCAAGTCAGTTGGCCAGGTAGTTGGTCTCCAGATTTCTTAGCACAACTTGGTGAGCACATCCATTCTCTACCAACTGAAATCAATTCCTGGGGTCTTGTTTTTTGCCAAGTCTTTCTTAACAGCTCAAACTTCCTCCTTCATCGCCACTGCCTCTTGATTATATGCGGTTTCATGAAATTCTTCTGTGTCATCCAGTTCTTTTCGGCTCATAAACACTTTACACTTGAGATTTTTAGCTTGTGTTTCTGAGGCAATAAAATACCTGGAAAGAGATTATCCATCATTCTCCCTTGGAGTTGCTAGTAGATTCAAACCACCAAACGGGTGCAGTCATTGGGTTAATAGTGCAACTTCCAATGGTACCAGAGCTCCCTAGATTATTGTAATGAGAGACATTTTATTCATTAGAAGTGATTCTTTCTCTTGCACTGTAGTCTTTTGGTGCCTGGAAGAATTTTTCATGTATTACCTTCTGCCGCTATAAATCAAGCCTTGTTTAGTTTCTATTTTACCTATCTTTTCAGTGTCAACAGTTATTTCTGAGTATAGCTGTTGTTTCATGTACCATCGTGTCAGCACGAACTCCTAGCTGACCCTCCAGCCGGTTTTCAAAGGCAGTAAATTATATGGGAATTGTTTGCTCATCATTCTCCTGAGGAGCAGCTGGGGGATCTGAACTGTGCCTTTGATAACGCAATTCCTTACCACTGGGGAGCTCTATTAGCCTATTGATAAGAAGCAGTGCTACAGTCCCAAAGGCACACTGTTCAAATTCACTAGCTCCTTCATGGGAGAAGGTTGGGCAATCTCCTTATGTGTGATTTACTGACTGAAAAACTGCTGGAAAGTCAGCTTTCCAGACACAGTTCTTCTAGACACAGTGGAACACAATGACAACAGGCCACCAAAGCTCCCAGGGCATAAGAAATATTGGTCCCTTATTTAGGCTTCTATTAATTTTAGGAGAGAGGGAGCGCTGCTTAGTGGAAAGAAGTTGTACTGACAACTCAAAGCAACACAGTTCAAATTTGCTATCTGTTCCCCTAGAAAAAGATAAGCAATCTCTTTGTGTGATTTACTGCCTCTAAAAACCTGCTAGAAGTTCAGCTATGAGTTAGTTCTTATTCAACGGCACACAACGACAATTCACTTTAGGGGAGCTTTAGTGGGTTCTTGTTAATTGCTGTCGAGTTGAGCACAACTCAGAGACCGTATGAGAAAAAGACCTTAAGCCTTTCTATAACTATTACAGTTTCTCAATGTTCATGGTTTCTAGAGGCTTGTTGTTTAGGAAGTGGATGTGTGACCAGCTAGCTGGTCCAGGGAAGAAAGATGAGAGCATTTGTATCCTATGTAATTTACTGTCTCTGAAAACCTGCTGGAGGTGAATTTTTCCACTTGACAATACATGAGAGCAACAATATTCTCTCTAGGGGCCTCTAGTAATAATAATGCTGAGTGTTTGCAGGAGCCCTGATGGTGCAGTGATTAATTGTTTGACTGCTATCTGTAAAGCTGGGTGTTTGAACCTCCCAGCTGCTTTTTGAGGGTAAGATATGGCAGGCTGCTTAGGTGAAGACTTGGAAACCTTAGGCAGTTTTACTATGTCCCACAGGATCACTATGAGGTAGAATTTGCTTCACTGGTTTTATATCTTTGCAAGCTGTCTTTCTAATAAGAAATATGAGCACTATCCAAGTGTTTGTCTAAGAGTTGATTCCTTGGATAAATTCTTGTTTTTAGAGAAATATTGTTAAAATTACTATTCTTTCAGAAAATTTACTGGATCCCACTTACTTTTATCTCCAGAAAGACTTGAACAAGCCACTCTCTGGGCAGGATGTAAGATCTGCTAGGTCACAGTGTAAGTGGGAGACAAATCTGGTAGTCATTTAACACTTTTTTGGGAAGAAAAATTGTTCTCTGGGTCTTCAAGCTGTAGGGAACAGTTTGATCCACATTTTATTTATTATTATTATTATTAGCTATCATTCTCTTTGGGCTTTGTGGTTAAATATACTATTAATGGAGATTTTCTCTGAAAAGATAATAAAGCTAGTCTGAGAACTTGTTCTAGTCTTATCCCATTCGTTCAGACTCACAAAAGGGGAAGATGGACTTAATTAAAAAAGCACAAGTAAAATCTTGATGGTTAGTTTGGGATGAATCTAAGTTGAAGGAAATGAAGGTGATGTAAACACATTAAGAAGATGGTATGTAAAAAGATTAAATCCAAGCATAACAGATCAGAGCGAGTGTCCTGGACTGTGACACCCTTACTAGGAGTTAGGGTGTTCCTTGGAGGCAGCTGTGGGGTAAAAGGGATGCTCAAAAGCCACCGTCTGATTCTGAAATGATCTTGATGTATGAAATCTACTAATTTCTTCTTCTGTTACCCCTAAACCAGAAAGGAGATGGGTCTAAAGTTGTCCTCTTCTTCAGTAAAGGTTCCATGTTGTTGTTGAGTACTGAAGACCTATAGCTGACCCTCTGGCTTTCAGAAACAGTTGGTGGAGGGAGTCTTTGGGATTGTAGTGCAGCTTCTTATCACTAGGCCACCAGAACTCCAAGGGTCTCATACTACCCTACATATTTCATTATCTCCTTTACTTGACATTTTTAGTGAATACATGTGTCATATCACATTCCTGATTTCAGCACACATTGCAATTTTACTTTAAACACAGCCTAATGGGCACAAACCCTAAAGAAATTCTGTGGTTAGACATTTATTTCAACGCATCTCTTAAGAACCTTTTCTTTTTCTGATTTCAGTGACATGCTATTATCTACAAAACACTTGTTTCACCATTTACATATATCAAGTTTAAATTATGCTGCTTTTGTACAGTGCTGTTCTTGGAAGAGGGTTTGCGGAACAGTATATAACTTAAAATGTGAAACCTTTAAAGCAAAGGTTAAGGTCGTTACTCCTCGAGTAAAGAGTAGCGGGCGCAGTGTTTCAGGTATCGCCTCCTCCGAAATATGTCTTTTGCAGAATGCTTGAAACTGCGTTTGGGGGAGCTATTTGGCGCGGAAAGACAACTAAAGGCACCCTAGCCCTGCTGTTTACAAAGTGTTCTCGTAAACTTCTTTCAAAAGTCTGAAAGTTGTTTACGTGTCCCGACTGTAGGACAGAAGACAGACCAGAAGAGAAGAAAGTAAAATCAAACATGCTGCAGCCTCTAATCTTTTGGGCGGGAAGCCGGGCGTGTGGCGTGGCGGGATGCGCGCACCCTCGCGCAGAGCCGGCCCCAGGAGGGCGTTGGTGCGCAGGGATCGGGCGTGGCCGCGGCCTCTGGCTCCTCCCTAGGGGCGGGCGGGCCGGCCGTGGGCGGAGCCTCGATAGCTCGGGCCCCGGCTCCGCAGGGAGCGCGTCGCCCTGCGACTGTCCTGCCGGCGATGGACTGAGCTGCGCCGGCGCCCCGCGCCTGTCGGTCCTGCGCTCGCCGGATCCCGTGGCGCCGGGCTTGTCCCCAAATCATCGCTTTGTCTGTTTCCCGCAGACGACCTCAGGCCATCGGCCCCACGAGGGAGATGTCCGGCGGCCGGAGGAGGGGCGGCGCCCCCTGGCACAGCTTCTCCCGATTCTTCGCTCCTCGGAGCCTTTCTCGGGACAAGGAAGAGGAAGAGGAGGAAAGGCTGGGAACGAACCAGACGCAGGCTCCGGGCCGGGGCGCTGCCAGGTGGGAGCCGCAGGGGGCGACAGGGTGGTCCGCGCGCACTCTGGGGGACCCGAGCTCCTGCCAATCGGCGCACTCGGGCCAGGCTGCAGTTTGCTCGCCACTTTCTGTTCTCTTTCCTCCATTGCTAAAAGTTTCCTCCTTCTCGCTCAGATCCCTACTTCTTGGTCTGTTAGATTTCTAAGTGAAGTTCCTGACTCGCAGGCTTGTGTGTTCCCACTGACCCAGCCACGCGCCGCGATTTTGCCTGATTCCACACGCGTCTGCTCCCGAATTTATGGCAAAAGCAATTTCCCCCGGCGTCCTGCCGGCAGTAATGGGAAACAGTTGTGAGCTGAGCATAGTAATCAGCTGAGGAAATCAGTGCGCGATCTGAAAACTACTTCTGTAGGGGTAGATCGGACGGAAGTGGGGAAAGGTAAGGCTTTACAGCGTCACTCTTCACCTGGCATCTTGCCATCTTATTTAAATACTCCAAGAATGATTCTTTGAAAACAAAAAAGTGCGATTTTTAAGTTCTAAGGGCTTCATTGAAACATCACTAATTTTAGCAAAGAAGTTGTATTTACCATTGTTGTGTGCCTTAGAGTCCGAACAGACGCATAGGTGACCCTCCATTGGGTTTTCAGAGGCAGTAAATCGCGTGGGAAAAGATTGCCTATCCACCTGCAAGGCAGCTGGTGGATTCGAACTACATGTATTTGGGATTGCTGGTTATTTAAGTATCGCCACCTCTCCTCTCGTTCTCTTTGGAAACATCTGCCTCAAGTTCCCGAGCAGATTTTCAAAACCAGGACTCGAGCTGTCTAGGTTTCAGTAATAAAAATGTAATCTTTCTCTGCAATCGCTTTTCCTTCCTCCACGTGCAATAAAAAGTATTTTTGTCACATTAAAATGCCGTTCCTAAGACCTTTCCATCACTCAGAATGGGGACGAGGGGTTATATAAAATATAACTTGCTGATTTAAACATTTGCCAAGAAGAGACTCCACCTCCCAGTTGCACTGGAATAGTTTGTAACCCACGTGATTGGAAGATGCCCTTCAAAAAACTAAGCGTTTACTTTTTACTTTTAAAAGGTTGATAGTAGCTTTCAAAGACGAATGGACAGAAAACTGAAAGAACTGTAACATTGTCCAAGTGTGGTTCCAGTAATAACCGGTTTTGTAGTTCAGTTTCTGTTTTTTAAATGTGCCTCATTTTCCCTACTTGACAAGTTTCTTGTCATAGCATTTATGCTGTGAGCATCTGTTTATACACTATCCTAACTGTCCAAGAAAGCTCCTAATTAAGTTTGTTCTGGAATGTTTCCGTTCTATCTGATTTTTAAGGGAAAATTTGAAATCTGTAGTTGTCCTATACTTAAAAGGAGTTTTGTGGTTTAATTGACCTCAAACTGGATGTCAGATAGTTCTAAAGGAGTATAACCAGCCAGCCTGGGTACCTGCCATCACTGTCACAACACTAATGATCTTGAATTATATGAAATTGATATTTAAAAGAGATATCAAGTAGACTCAGCAGAAGTTGGAAACTTGAGAGTTAGGAAGGAGTGGGCCAGCCAATTTCAGGTTGACTTTAGTATTGTCCTGAAAATCTGGCCTGCTCCCCCTGTTTGACTTTTTGAAAACATTTCTCAAACCTAAGTTCTCCAATTTGGAACTAACCTCTCTGATAACTCATTCCTTGTCTACCTGCCCCTCTATTCTCATCATCTCTGGATAGTTAAACTGTGACTCTGATGATGAAAATTTGTACTGTGCATGTATGAACACTAATTTTGTTCTCATCTTTTATATAATTTGCCAGATGTTAAGGGGATCACAGATAATCCTTTGTGTGGGTGTTCTGTTTTAAAGGAGTTTAAATCTTTCTTTCCAAGGATATAAACAAACACAAAGCCTTTATTGAAAGTTTAATGAAACAAATGGAAATGCTTAGCGTAGTATGAATGTCCCAGTAACACAACACCCTGGTGTTAACAAGATTGGAAACAGAATTGCCATTTGTCACTGTTAAAGGGCATTTTAGCTGCTGCTTCTTGGTGCAGTAGAATCCGTTTTACTTTCTGTGCTGGTGGATTTAGAAGCAGAGTAGTCAATTCAGTAAACAAACTGTGCTTGGTGTGACGAGATGAGAGGATGGCTGAGAGAAGGAATTCTTTCCTCAAGGAGCCATGAGAAGCAAAGAACATTTGAAAAAGTAATACTAGCACCTATGATATGTCTTGCTTTTGCAGTATAAAAGTTAATTTTTATAATATTATATACGATCTTGAACAGCCTGTATTATCTGTACTCTCATCTTAGAGTAAAAGCAGCTTACAGAAACTTTTTTTAAAATCACACTTTTCAGCCCTACTTTCTACCTGTAACTCCTGTTTTGTCCTGTGGAGTCAGAACTCACTTATCTCTGACCAGGGAGTTTTCAGAGGCCATAAATCACACAGGAGGAGATTGCCTATTGTTCTCGCGTGGAGCAGCTGGTGGATTTGAACCACGGACCTTTGTGTTGGCAGCACAGCTAGCTCCTTACCTGTAACTAGTAAGCCCCTTAAATTTAGAGTTAATGTCAGTATTTGTGTTTTTCACTGTATTAAAAGTGATATGAAATTGCATCTTTTCTTAAACTGTGCTTGTTTTCCTTCATCCACTGCCATCTAGTTGATTCTAACTCACAGTGACCATGTGGACAGAGAAAGACTGCCCTGCAGGGCCTTCCAAGGCTACGTGCGCGTCTTTATGGGAGAAGGGTGCTTCATCTTTGCTGTGTAGTAATAGGTGGGTCTGAAGTGCCAAGCTTTTGGTTAGTCTTTGAGTGCTCTACATTTCCACAAAGATTCCTTTCAATGAGCCTTTAAAGGCTTTCTATGGTACACATTTACTGAAGTAAATGCAAATATATTCAAACACAAATCTGGATATAAATTTTTTAAGAACAGAATGGGGGGGATATGCTGAAATATAACCATAGTACCAGTGTTTACATTTATAATATTGTCCTTCTGACTATTCTCAGAATGCATATACTACCACTAGGACAAACTCAGGATCTGTGGGGTGTGCCGTCTATATCAGTCTGTGCCGTGCTATGATTTGTATCTTCCGACATTTTTCTGTTCAAACCATAGGGATGCATTTATTTTCATGGTGTGACTCTGTCGTTTGTATACTACTTAAGCAGTTGTTATTTTCTTGTTAAGGTTCAGCAGTTGAAAGGAGGCTATTTGTACTAATAATGGTGCATGTGTGAGCTCACGTGTGGGCACTGGAGTTTCTTGGGCATACTTAACAGCTTCATGAGATCCTGGTGGGGGGCACAAATTGTTAAACTCTTCAAGTGCCATTTTATTAATTCCAACTCTTAGCAGCTTGTAGGGCAGAATACTGTTCAGAGTGTTTTTAAAGTGGTAAATCTTTGCAGAAATAGATTGCTTCCCCTGAATGGCTGGTAGGTTCCAACCACCAGCCTTCCCATGAGCTGCCAGGTACTTGGCTACTGTTCTACCATTTCTATTTAGTTAAGCTCTAGACTGGCCGAAAGATTGCCAAGTCACGCACACTCCTAGATAACTTCCAAAGGCTTGAAAGATCATATCCATGAAAACCCTAAGGAGCACGAGGGTTAGCATGATTCATAATCGTCTTGAAGAGAATTAACAACAAGCTTGGGTAATTGATCAGCTCTAAGAAGTGCTTATATTACTTGTAGATTACATAGGAGATGGAAAGTACAAAAGAAGTTTTCCTAAGAAAGCGGAGAAACTTCCAGAGAGGTCTGTGGATCCCTGTTGAGGGTCATTGTTGCAGTAATTTATGAGCACAAAAGTGACGGAATCATTAGAGGCATGTAATGGTGAGAACAATGAGGTCATTGTGGTGGATGTAGTTGTAATGTGCCTTCAAGGATTGAATGTTTCTCTGGGGTTAGAAGATAGGAACGGCATGCTAGATTGAGTCAAGGCTACAGGTATTTATAATCTGTTATTAGGTACCTTTGAGTGGACTGACAACAACCCTATGCGCTAAACCTCTAACACTCATTGGCATTGAGTCAGAACTGACTCAGAGATTACATTCCAGGCAGGGAATCTCATGGGAGGAGATTGCCACTGGTGGACTTGAACTGCCACAACATTGTATGCACAGCTGAAACAAGTGCTGCCTCAAGCTGCACTATCCGCACAGTCTATGCTGTTCTCAAGCCCATTTTTGTAGCCACTAAGTCATTCTGAAAGGGTCTATATAAATTAGTGAGGCAGAGGAAAAGAGGCAGTGAGAAAGTTAGGTCAGAAGTGGGTTGTAAACATTTCTAGTAAATGTTTAGCTCTTAATATAAAGTTCCGAGAAAATATTCAGAGTAGTTAATACTGAAATATGAAAACTTGGATAATACTAGTCTTCTAGTTTTGTCTGTTTTGAGATGCTTATTGCTCAATTTTGTTTCCCGGTTGTATAAGATGATAAATTAATACATTCCATATGATTTGCAAGCAGGGAAGGAAACTATGTGCTTAGTTTGGGCCAGGCACATTTTATTTGATTTTATCATCGTCATCATTATTATTTTTACTTGCAGCATCTTATTTAAACTTCAAATTAGGTCTGGAATATGAGTCCCATCCCAAAGCGCAGGGAGAGAGTTTTTCGTGGCAGACAGCACTGGCATTTTGGTTTGAGTTGGACTTTTCCTGTCCTCTGTAAGACATTTGGCATTTGTAACCTTGCCCATTAATTGCCAGTAGCCTCCACTTAGATAACCCACAATACTTCCACAGAGCTGGGTGAGAGGGAGAATGGTACCACTCCCACTCCCAGTCATGCCAGCAGTAGGTTTCACCTGTGAGACTTGCACTTCATCTGAGTCGAAAGTGCTGGTGTTTTTGGCCATAAGTCACCATGCTCTATCAAAAGACATTTGAAAATGTTAGTCAATTGGAACTTTGCTCGTTGTTGTTGGTTGTTGTTCCCTCCTCCTCCCCCCCCCCACCAAAAAAAAAGAAT